GGCAGAAGAATTACACGGCAACAGCGCAATCTTAGGGGATGCACACAACAGGCTACTAAAAATGGTGTTTTCAAAACCTTTGAGGTCAAAATGATTCCCGTGCACACAGACCTGGTGTGGAGCCAACGAGATGAGAATTGTGCTGATGTCCCTATTATTTATGGACCCAACTGTAAAGGTCCGGACTTTAGAGACTCTCTCAGGGTTGGCAGTTGGTCACAAAACCTCTTTGCCAATGTGGCTGAAGATAATGAAAATCTCCTTGCCACACGTTCTTGTTTTTGTCGCTGTCTTGCCAACTGCGCAAGGCAGAGACATTGTAGCCCAAACAACACAAAATCTATGAATACTTCAGGGAAGATATTTGGGGGGGGTGTTTGGAGGCATAGCTTGATGGCTAACTCCATGTCGTTGTGTTGGAAGTGGGCCAAGTTATTATCAATAAGCAAGTGGCAATTGTGCTTAAATCGCCACAGATGAACGAGGGCGCTCATTTAGCGGGGAGGGACGGACTCATGCTGTTTCTTGGGTTGTCAGCTCGCCAGCCCCCAATAAATAAATCAATAAATCCGCATAACTAACCGGGAGGGTGAAAAAGAGTTTTACACTCTAACTCGGCAAATTCAGTTCTAAATTGTTCCCACTCTTCACGGCAACGGAGGAACTTCATTGGAAACCAAGGACCCCTCTTGAATTTTCATGTGCCCGTTTTTAGTTGAAAATGCATAAAACCGGCACGTAGGAGAAAGTTGGTTTCGTGACCACAATGGAAATGAAGTGTATATGTCTGGTTTGAACATAAACAGAACTGAAAGCTGGTTTTCATTAACCCGGGTGGGGGGTGGTTGAGTGACACAATACTGCTAAAAACATGCAGATGAAATCGCTTTTTTTCCCCCCATTGCTTCTATTGGAAAGTTTTTGTGGCCTGGCATGGCGTGGTAGATGCGCTGACCCCTTCTCACATCCATCTGGCCGGACTTCACGAGTGGGGGGGATGCTGTGTATGCTCAAATGGGAGCTTTTACCTACAACACAGACCTAACAGGAAAAGACGCATTTGCATATTCTGTTCCTGAGTAAACAAGTCTCTAAGCGACTCGCAAGTCTGGTTTGCCAAATAAACTGAGTGCATTTGTTCAAGTCGCAGCCCTTTCACCAAGACACCACATTCCACAGACGGCGGAGGCCCCTTCCGCCACCCCCCCAACCCCCTGCCCATTACGTCGACAGGCCCCTTTTCGCTGCCTCACACAAATGCAACGTTTATAGGCTGCTGTGGCCAGAAGTTCACACTCATTGGTTCAAAGAGGCTTTCACGAGCAGAACAAACATTTTTAGTGAATCACATCTGTGCCACCGCATAAAGTTAACCCTTTTCCCACACCGCTCAGCAAGAGAGAAAAATAAGACTTCCGAGGCCAGATTTTCCAACCAATGCCAGTGCCCCCCTCTCACATGTAATTTGATTTTGAACCCAGTTGTTTTGTGCTGTTACGGTGATTACAACATGGAAAAGCTATTTCACTGAAGACGCGTGCATAGTTCTTTAAAAAAAAAAAAACATATATATATCAATAAAAACCAAGACCAGGCTCTCACATTCGAGTCAAAGCGGCTTTTTCGGGGCATCTCGCGGGCTCATAGCTGCAGCTAAAAATACAAAGCATATCTCACTTCTTTTTCTGGAGAGAGCATCCACTTCACTCCTGCGCGAATGGCCAGCCGGACACCTCGCACAAACCTGATAGTGTGCATTCATCACGCCGACAACTACGATATGTTCACCGTAAACAAACACATCTAATTTAAGATGCACGCAGACATGAAGGGGCCCTAGGACCCCCTATTCCTGAGCAAATCCTCGAATTTAAATTTAGATAAAGCTTTCTGAATTCGGAAAGGACATTAAAAAGTTGATGCCATATTCCGTGGACATTCAATGGCATAGGGCAAAATCTTGAAAATCTACTTCCGCTTTGGTCTAAATTGGGTGAACTCCCAAGTAAGAGTTGGTGAAAATGATGAGCCCCGTAATTCATCCATCCATCTTTTTCCGCTTATCCGGGGTCAGGTCGCAGGGGTGCCAAGCTTTAGGAAGGAAGACCAGACTTCCCTCTCCCCTTGCCACTTTGTCCAGCTCTTTTGGGGTAATTGCCTGGCATCTTCCCGGTAAGATGTGCCCGAGCCACCTCATCTGGCCCCTCTCAATGTGAAGGAGCAGCAACTTGACTAAGTCCCTGCCAAATGACCGAGATTCGCACCCTTTCTCAAGCACTGGGATTCGCTCACGAAATGTCCGTTCACCATCCTCCCAACGTGACAATGAGACGTCGGGTCAAAATCAGGAAAGTCAGTCTGTTGTGACTTCTGCTATCAAATGTTCTAAACCTAAGCGGAATTCACAGCTTCCACTTCACGACCTAATCGATAAATGGCAGCGATTTCTCCTGGAGGTATCTGTTTCCCCTCAGCCAGCGTTAAGTGTCCGGGGGCATTCCAGCACTGACAGGCCAGTGCCCCCTGGGGACCGACCAACGCGCCACCCCCTCCTTCCCATCCGCGACGATGCGGGCCCGTCACGCATCTGGAGCTCATCTCCAGGGGCCGACAAATGTCTCTACTGGACGTTGCAGTGGTCAAAAAACAGCAGGGACCTTGAAAGAGGAAACAAACAACACAAAGCACATGTTTGCAAGGAATGGGATAGCGTCGTACTTCTGCCAAGCAGAACATGTCTAATTGACTCAACATAATAGAACATATAAAAGCAGATGATTCGGTCAAGCGTGACTTTGGGACAATATTAAACATCATTACCACTATACTGCAATTTCCGAGAAGTAACAGTGGAGTTTAAACAAATGAAACAAAGAAATGCAAAGGAACGGGTTTACTCAATATAAACCTGGTGTAGCGCACACTGGAGTGACCACATAATTAAATTCAACGTTGTCTCCACAAAACATAAAAAGTTATTTTTAATCCAGCACAGGGATTATAACATGCAGCAAGTCATCTGACAGACGTTGTTTGTTTCTGCTGCTTTGGTTAGTAACAAAGTTAGGATAGCCTTGTCATTTTTTTTTTTTTTTAACTTTCAGAGAATTCTTGAAATAATCAAGCATTGACAGCAAGCGTTCTCCACCTACATTCAATGATAAAGGGAAAAAAAAGAAGGCTTCGCAATTAATTCCACCTATTTGTCAAGGATGACGTAATCCACATTTCTGTCCGCGGTATCGGGACCGAGGCCTGCTGCGAACAGTGAAAATTTGTAACTGACTCTACCCCTAGTGGATTATACTGTACTTACAACTGCGTATAGATGTCATTACTTGTCTAGATGAATCTCCTCAACTCATTGTGACACCAAATTCCACCAGACGGTGTCAAATCAATACCGTTATTACGTACATACTGTACTAAGCACAAAAACAGCAAGCAGGTGAGTTTTTCAGCAAACGGGATGGTCCCTCAAAAAAAAAAAAAAAAAAAACGACACCAAATTCCACCAGACGGTGTCAAAATCAATACCGTTATTACGTACATACTAAGCACAAAAACAGCGAGCAGGTGAGTTTTCAGCAAAAGGGATGGTACCTCAAAAAAGAAAAAAAAAAAGGCAAAATGACGAATGGAAACATTTTTGAATGCATATCTTGCACATCTTTGTCAGGTAAAATTATATCATACATAGCTACAGTGGCATAAGAGCCCCACGTGGGCTGTCACAGGAAATGCAATCTGTCACAGTTCAAGCATTTTTGCAAAGCGAAGTGTGTTAATAAACGTCAGGAACCCAAACAGGACACAACAGGTGACTTGGGAATTGTGAATTATTAAAGAAGGAATGTACAAGTTCCTCAATGCATTAAAAAGTGAAGATGACCTTTTGCATATGCGAGAGGGGAGAAAAAAAAAATCTAACGGGACTGTGCCGTTGCTGCTAAAATTAATTATCTAAACGACGCGGTCACATGTGGAAACCGTCCTCTCAGGTTTTCTAATCACATTTATTCGGGGCAGCAGAACCTGAGAGGTCTTTGTCAGAGCAGATGGCTTCAGCTAATCAAGACATGGCTCGGGGGGGGGTGGGGGCACCCCCAAGTT